CCGGGCCTCCTGGCCTCGCCCTGGGTCTGCAGGGCATTGCCGCAGCCACTGCTGTAGAAGGGATTGCCCCCTGGGATGGCAGGTATGAGATCGAGGCTCCGAAGCAGCCTCTGCCTCAGCCCATGCAGCCCGCCGGAACACGAAGCCCAAAATGGCCACCGGAATGGCGTCCCGTCTCTAATAGCCCCAACAAACAATTTTCAAAACCCTTACCGGCAGCCGGGAACGAGCCACACCAAGGCGATGCGTCCAGGAAGCAGATGGAAGCAAAAGAGGGAAAGTAGGTAGGAAGAAATTGCAGAATCCAACACTGGATTGTTTGGGAATCTCTGGAACCAAAAGCAACTCGTCCTTCTTCGGCCAGACAGAGTTGAAACTGGGAATCAGAAGCAAGGAGCACAGAGGCGTAGCTTCAGCTTTAACTCTGTCTCGAGGCCAATTGGACATCATAATACCCAATTCTGGTTAATCCTGCAAAGTCCTCCAGAAAACAGCAATATTCAAATATTACGGTTCCCCCAAAAAATTATTTATTAAATTTCTACACTGCTCATTTCACCTGCATGATTAATATTGGCCATGAACACCCACATATGTACCTGCATCTATGAATTCTCTTAATGTTTTCAATGTGTTAAGTTTGTTGAATCTCTTATTTTTATTTATTATTTAAATAAAGTCTGAATCTAACACTGGTCCATGGCTAGCTTATGTACATTCTCTTGCATGGAAAATAGCTGCTGAAAAGCAGCCAAGCAGAAAAACTATTCTTGGCTCAAGAACTTAACTGGGCATATCTTCCAGTTACAAGAAATTAACCAATTTCCATGCTCCTGTTTTTCATGGTCAGAATTAACATAGGTAGCAATGTGCAGTTCAGCAGTGTTCAAACAGAAGAGCCCATAATGTATTGGATTCTCATATAGCAATCCCAAAATGTTCTAACACAGAAGTAACTACATAAGAGCATATGACCTCTCCACCCATTGTTTTCCAAATTTAAAATCTCTTTTCTGAAAATGTATTTATTATGGGGGGAAATTACTTCAGTGCACAAAACCACAGGAGATCTATGCTGTATTGAATTAGGCCTTGATCTCCAAGTATTATTGGGGGACAATATTATCATAATCTATGCAGTTGTAAATATTGGGGATAAGTATTCTGCAGAAAAGAATTATCTCATGCATATTCCCAGATATTTTTCATCTTACAACTCCTACATCACATATCCCTATGCTACGTTTTGCAAGTGAAGTCTGGTTCAAAGATAATATTAACTCAATCACTCAAAACAAATTAAGCAGGGATATATGTTATCTCCTAACCTACCTATGGGTCTTGTTCAGAGACAGAAACAGATACTGTTTTACAAGTATGCTCCCCTTTTGATTCAGCTTCTTGGACAAATCCAACATTTCCCCTTCTAACAAACAACCATAACAGTTTGGAAGAAAAAAGCATTTTCCTTTTAGTGGACAGACATTTTTTAGTATTCTGAAGGGTAGGTACATTTTGGTCATTTATCACTGCTAATAATCATTTAATATACTTACTTTGTGATTTCATTCGGCTACAGAGGTAGTTGCACTTAAACACAGTGTTCTATTTTTACATGCTTACATATAGATCTTTTACTGAGTTAATCATCTGCTATTCCCAATCCCAAAATCTTGACTTAGGTATTGGGGTAACATTAAGTTTATAAACTACCCTATGCTAAATCAGCAAATCATAATCCTTATTTAATATGATTAAATTAGAAAATAAAACCAATTTTCTAATTTTAGCTTCAATTTCTATTTAAAATCTACCTATGCTTAGTGATTAGAGTTACATAGCTAACCATACACTAATTAGAAAAGATAAAAGCAGAGGGTATATCTGTAACTGGACAAGAACAATGTCTAAAGTGGATCTATTGATAAAGCCCAGTAAGAACATTGTCACTGTTGCAGACTTTTCTCCAAAAGGAGAAAAACTCACATAAAAGTTAAATGTACATGTATGGAATCCTTCCTCATTTTCTTCTGAACTCAGTGTGAGAAACAAAACAAAAATCACCCTTATGCTGTACTATAGTTAGGAAGTACACAGAAAAGTCAATTATGAAAAGTATGTTATAAAAATTCATATTTTGATTACATAAAAGAAAATTAGTTATAGCATGAAATGATTAAAACTCACATGACTGTATTAAAACATATTAAATGTACACTTAAATATAAACTATATGTTTTTACAATATTTATATTTTAATAAGGATTATTAAAAAACACTGTCTCCATTTACAAATGTAGTGATGGTTGTATTCAAAGTTTCCATGGATGTAAGTGATACTAGCAAAACAGATTTTCTGTGAATGATGCAAGTTTAATTCATGTGACCTCAGATCAACAGAAGCTCATTCGGTCTTCAGTAAACATCAGAATGAACCAGGCACTCTTCTCGGCTTGCTCTAATTATTTCCAAGCAGCAAGTTAAAGAAAGCATGACCTCTGACATTTTAAAGTATATGTTACAAAACCCTGTATTTTTTAAAAATGTACAGGATCCTGAAATAGCTACCATAAACTACTATACAAACTAAATATGTTCATACAGACTTTAAGGAACAAAAAGCAACCAGGGGAGCAATAAAAAGTATCATAGATAATAAACTCATTTAAGGACTGAAGAAAGCTAGAGTATGAGTATGCTAAATAAAACAGAATTGAAGTTTTTTTATGGCAGCCATTTTTCTTTAGTCACTACTATACAGAAATGCTAACTCAGCCTATATAGGAGATATAGAATGTTTAGAATTTTCTTCCAGAAAGATGACATAGAGTTTTCAATGGATACTTTTGCTTGGAATCAGTTCAAAGCAGAAGCACCTCTACAGCTTGACAAACACCTGTTACTTTTAAAGAAGAATCTAAAAGCTGATTTTAAAACTGAAATATCAAATATTTTCATTCCAACATTTATTGTGGCAGACTATACTTATGGGCATATTGTTGATCCATCTTAAGGTGGATAATTAGAATATAGGTTTTGAGTACAGCCACAAAATTAACATATCACTCCCTCTTTATCATTATTTTCAAAATATTCAGCTTTCTTCCTATGAAATCTATAGAATTTTTATAGTATGTTTATAGGGTCACAAAGAGTATACTCTTCAACAATAAAAGATTTCCACTAAATTTATTTAGGAAACTCAGGTATGGAAGAATCCAAGTGACAAAAGTAATATATTTGTGACATGTTAAAGATTACTTTATTATTAATTAAAATTCTCAAGTGAGGAATATTTTTTCTGGATATTCTATAAATTATATCGCAGTTTTTCAAATAGTGCTGGTAAGTGTATCTCAATGAAGATCAAGATCTTTAAGGAAAAGTGAATGTTTAGGTTAATTTAGTTTTGCTGATGTCTATTTTGCATCATAAGCATTTCTCATAATCACCTTCCATCAACTCAGTATCAAACAATATTGTAGCTGCCACTTCTTCCTCCTAAGCAATTGGAAATTCTTTCAGTGACTCAGGAGAATGTAAGTCCTCTGACATCAGCAATATATTTGTGTATCTTAGCAACCATCTGACAAGCAAAACATTTTCATTTTCCCAACATGACAGAATATTGTTATGAGGATTCTAAATATCAACAAGTTGGTCCTAGAAAGCAATTCTTATTAGGCATGAGAAGCAATGGTACTTTAGATTTAAAGTGTCCACACAAACTGCAAAATGACACCATGTATGCAATGATACGATTAAATAAATGCCACTATAATATATTGTGTCCCAACATCTGATACAAGTATATAAATAGCATTTCCATGCTACCTTCATGTGCATTTCTTCATCTGCCCCTTATGCCCACTCCAGATACTCACGAAAAAATACAGATCTATTCTAATTTACATGCCATTTGTTTTCCCCTTTATTTGGGAGAAGAATATAAAGAGATTGAAAGATAAAAGTAAAAATGATAAAAATTGATGCTCTGAATTCAATCAAATGTGATGGGAGCAGCCATGTTCTCTGACCCAATCATATATAATGAACAATGAAAGTGAAATCTGTCTTTCAGAGCAAAAGATAGAAGAGCTCTGTGGAACAAAACCTACATGTCTAGCCCTTGGGATTTAAAAGTTATAGCTCTGGTATCTGTTACAAACACCAAAAGCGTCTTCATACATAAGCAGGGCAAAATATGTCAACAAATGAGGGTGTTCTCGATGTGTTTGATTCTAAAAATATAAAGTCAAAGTTTAAAACTGCAATAAAAAGCATAAATAATATGACATGGTTTTTGTAGTCATGTCACCTTAACTGTAAAAAAAAAAAGGTTCTCCTTTCTGGCAAAACTAAGATGTTACTCATAGGAAACCACATTCAAAATTAGTCATGCAAGCAGGCTTCAATACCGGAAGGAAATTTAAGGCGCCTAAGATTTGATACGCATAGATAGAGTTACTATACAGGATGTACTATAAAGCAGCTGATAACCCCATCTGACCAGATTTCAAAACTGAAATTAGCCATTTTCAGGGAGGAAAACATCAGAAGCAATGCCCACGATGACTTTACAAAACAGACCCTACTACACCAGAGGCGCTATATATACACTCTTTCAACAAGATGAATGGGAAAGTGCGCCTTGAGCACCTGTAAACCAGGGGCTGCTTCATTAACCGATCAAGACATCCAGTTGTCATCTGTGGAAAGCAGAATGCTGGTTTGCATGGGAGTAGTTCCATATTATTATTTTTTTGTTAGACCCAAGGAGAAACAAAAGACGAAGTGAAGAGAAACCCCATAATCCGCAACCGGTACAGGATGGGTTTAAGGGAGCGAGCGGACTGTCAGGAGAGCACGCCAACAGGAACAGAGAGGTGGCAGGAGGATGCCTCGCCCCGGCGGCAGTGGATAAGCAGCTTTCGCGATACCGTGAAGCAGGGAAAAGACCAAAACCGGCTTAAGGACTAATGGAGGGGAAAAAAACAGACCTGGGCCCTGAGGCGAGTCACGGGGGCAACGGCCGGAAATCTTCAGCATTAACAAGAGACCTAAAAGGGCGGATTATGCAGCTCCTGAAGAAGGGCAGATCCGGAGAAGACGGAGAAGAAAAGTGTCCCCTCACCGGGAGGCGCAGGCCGAGAGGCTGGGGAGGGCGGGGGGCGAAAGAGCCAGGATACAGCGACTCTTTCCCGAAAAGACCTACGATTCCTTCTTGCCCTTTTCCTCAACCGCTCAAACGGCCACAGGAGTAGGAGGGAGGGGGGAGAAGAGTAACGCGTCTTCCTCGCTCTTTCAGGGATGATGGGGAGGGGGAGGATCCTGGCCCGCCCCGCCGCTCCTTTACGCGCTGAGTGACACGCACAGTCCCCAGCCAGTCGCCGCCGCTCAAGAGCTCCCGCTCTGACTAATAGGAAAAAGAGCCGACGGGCGAAATCTGCCCTGTTGTCAGTTCGCAGCCAATCGGCGTGAGGGAGTTGAAGCGGCCGAACTCGTGGGCTTGCGGTGGCGGGGGTGGGGGAGGAGGGGAGGGGGAGTCACTTGGTTCTTATGCCTCAGCCTGTCTCGAGCTAGGAACGCATCGGGCGCGTGCATGGAGGGACGCCGTGTCCCCACCCCCCACCCCGGCTTTATTCCTCGCGCTCTTTCTTACCCGTCCAGTGTGTTCTGTCACGGCTGCTCCCGCCGCCAACGTAACCGCATCGCCTTACTCGCTGACACAGCTCCGAACCTTACCTCATCCGGGCATTCACCGGCAAAAAAAAAAAAAAATCTTACGTCACAGAGAGGGCGAGGCCACAACGGAGACGAGAACAACCCCTTGAAAGGCGGGGCGGCGTATTTGAGTGACACCCGCCGTGTGTTGTTTGTGCAGCTGTTTCGCCTCTCGCGAGATGCTTTGAGTGGGCTGTTTGGGAGATGCTTATTCGTCGTTGGGCTGTTATTTGGGAAGACGCGAAATATGAATTAATGGGCTTTTATTGTGAACAAGTATGCAAAACGTGGTTCCTCATTATGCCTGTTTGCCCTTCAAAAAGCAGGCGTTCGACCACACCTGGATATAGAGTTTTTGATACAGGTTTTGTAGTGAGAAAAGTTAAGGATGCAATGAACGTGTTAGTTTAGCAATAGCACTTAGACTTATATACTGCTTTACAGCCCTCTCTAAGTGGTTTACAGAGTCAGCATATTGCCACCAACAAATCTGGATCCTCATTTTACCGACCTCGGAAGGATGGAAGGCTGAGTCAACCTTGAGTCTGGTGATAAGTTTGTAAAGAAAATCGGACTTGGTGTTTCCTCCAGTGACTTTAAGTATGAGGACTGGTCATAAGTCACTTTTTTCAGTGCTGTTTCAGTGCTTCGAATGGTTGCTAAATGGATTATTGTAAATTTAGATTACAGATAGTTCTCGACTTACAACAGTTCATTTAGTGACCATCTGAAGCTACAGTGGCAGTGAAAAAGTAACTTGACTATTTTTCACACATTTATGACGGTTGGTTGCAGCATCCCCATAATTATATGATCTATATTTGAATGCTTAACAACGGACTCCGCTTTTACAACCTCCTGACAAGCAAAGTCAATGGGGAAACCAGGTTCACTCAACAACCTTGCTATTAACTTAACTGCAGTGGTTCGCTTAGCAAATGTGGCAAGAAAAGTGCTAAAATGGGACAAAAATCACTTAAGAAATTTTTCACAGGATTTAAAAATTTTGGGCTCAATCTTGGTCATAAGTTGAGGACTACATGTAGTTGTATCAGGTTCTTAGAGACGTCATCTAGATTTTTTTAAAAACTCTTAAACCTAGTCATTGGTTGTTTTTCAGATGCGTATAACAACATTTATAGTTGAAGATGTCTTGCAATGAATACTTGGTGCTTTTCTTGTGTATTAAATAACACTGGGCCAAGCATGCATAGCTATAAGACTCGTCTCTGACTTTTCAAAAGAGCAGTGACCCCTTAAAGTGTCACATTATTCTGAATTGACTATATGGGCTGGAGGTCAATGCTTTCCCATGTAGGTCTGAGAATTCTTTCCAAAGTGAAAGGAGTCTGCATCATCTGTGGAGAGCAGTGAATAAGAGTAAGAGAGAGCAAAAAAGGAGGCAGATCAAGCTTATCTGTGTGGGAGATCTGATTTGTTCACCAGAAGTGAAGACCGGAAGGAGTACAGGAAACAGGCTAAGAAGTATTTTGTAAGTGCCTATCTCCAGAGTTCTTGAATGCAGCAAACTGTTCCTGAGACTGAGATAATATGCTATGCTATGCATATCAAAATTAAAAGAGATTTATGCAAAAGTGCTGTTGAAATACAATGACTGACAAACTGGATTTGGGGATTTACGCTAATTCAGTTCTTTATGGGTGGGTATTGGGGGTTTGTGTCATTTTACTACAATAAGATTCAGTCCACCAGAAGTGATCAATGGACCCAATGGGTTTCCAAAGAGACCTTGAGATTTTTCCCCAAGGATTTGATGGATGTTCAGTTATCTGGGATGAGCAGGTAACTTAACAAAAGTGTGATAAATTGCTGAATTTGGGGAGAATTGAGGATTCGTTTGAATGCGAGAACCTTTTATTCCATTATCATTGTTCCTAACATTGTTGGATCCATAGTTTTATTTGATTTATTTTATTTTATTGCACAAATGTGGTTCCTCTTTGACAATTGCAACATTTTTCTCTTTGGCCTTTCTTTATTGGCACATACTATAATCCTACTCTGTACTCTAATCCTTTTCACTGTACTTTAATGCAGATGTTCAAAGACTGCCATAGAATGAAGATTTCCAGAATGGATGGGCAGAATCTCTGCTAAATTGCAGGGAGATTCCCCAGTTTTGTACAGGTAGTCCTCGACTTACAATAGTTCATTTAGTGACTGTTTGAGGTTACAACAAAACAGAAAAAAGTGACTTTTGACCATTTTTCACATGATCATTGCAGCATCCCCAAGATCATGTGATAAATATTCAGATGCTTGGCAACTGACTCATATTTATGACATATTTATGAGTTGCAGTTTCCTGGGGTCGTGGACCTTCTGAAGCCAGACTTAACAACCGTGTTATTAACTTAACAACTACAGTGATTCACTTAATTGTGACAAGAAAGATCATAAAATGGGGCAAAATTCACTTAATGTCTCACTTAGCAACAGAAATTTTGGGCTCAATTGTTGTTGTAAGTTGAGAATTACTTGTAGTTTTTTTTTTTTCAAAAATCACCATTGCTTCATGCCTTAAAATGGCCAGAATTCTCATGCAACACAGTAAATTGAGTAAATATGAGCATTCTTTTGAGGAAACATTCTGGAGGCTGCATGCCATCGAAGACATTGCACTGCAGAATACTTCCCCCCACTCACAGGTAGCATATACGGCATGTTCTCTCGGCTTTCTCATAAACACATTTTCTTTCAGCCATAAGCTCCATAGTGTACACTTTGTTTTCCCATAATTACATATTCCATTCTGATCCATCATACAAACAGATAACCGATTCATGTTCTCTTTACATCTTTACACATGTTTTGCATAAATTCCATTCATACAGACCTCCATTTAATTTGTTATATTCAGACCTTATCTGGCATAATGTGTTTTCTTTCCATTCTTGAATCAAAAGAAAAATATGTTGGAATGTAAAGTATTGTCTCTACAATCTGTCTTTACCTCACTCTGGCAATGTGGCCACTCAGCATTACTGTCTGAATACAATGTACTGTAATGCAATGTGGGACAGTAATTGGCAGAATCCCTGTTTATCTTCTTCCTCCTACACAGCATTGTCTATCGTCAAGCAAACAACCTACAGTTGTTCTCCTGAACCTGTTTTTTGGATAAGGCTGGTGGCCCCAAAGCAATGGTGGGTTTCAAAAAATTTTAGAACTACTTCTGTAGATGTGGCCTGCTTTGTGGGAGTGGCTTGCCGGCCATGTGACCGAGTGGGAGTGGCTTGGCAGTCATGTGACTGGGTGGGCATAGCCAACTTGTAAAATGTGGTGAAGCTCACTTAACAATGCTCTTGCTTAGCAACCAAAATGTTGCCTCAGAAACACTCACATTTGAAGCACGCAAGTCTTAAAGCTGTCAAGTTACAAGACCCTTGCACCCCTAACCCTTTAGAAAAAAAAAGCCAGGGATGTTCAAACTTGACAGCTTTAAGACTTTAAGGTTTAGATAGGACTCTTAGAGGTGGGTGGGGCGATTGGTGATCCAGCCAATTAGTGAGCGGCAGGCGGGGCAAGCATGGTGCGGACGGGCGGGGGGATTATGGCTTGCTGCCATAATCATCTGAAATATTTTCTGTGGATATGCAGCTTTCAGAATCGATATACATTTCTTTTTTCCAAGACAAGCCTGGTCAGCTTGAGTTCAGTATTTACACTGAGTGAGAACACTGAGAAGGGGAGCATTTGCTCCAATGCAAGAGTTGTAGTTAAACCATATGGTGAACAGTTGCAAGTATTTGGCAGGGCTAGTCTAGTGAAGAGAAGAACCAGGAGAGACATGCTAGCAGTGTTCCAATATTTGAGGGGCTGCCACAGAGAGGAAGGGGTCAAGCTATTTTCCAAAGCACCTGAAAGCCAAACAAGGAATAATGGATGGAAACTGAACAAGGAGAGGTTCAACCTGGAAATAAGGAGAAACTTTCTGACAGTGAGAGCAATCAATCAATGGAACAAGTTTGCCTTCAGAAGTTGTGGGAGCTTCATCACTGGATGCTTTCAAGAAGTGACTGGACTGCCATCTGTCAGAAATGATGTAAAGTCTCCTGCTTAGGAGTGGGGGTTGGACTAGATGACCTACAAGTAATGCAATGTGGTCCCTTCCAACTCTGTAAATCTGTTAATCACAGAAGCCTTGTTATAAGGTTAAGGCACATGAAGGGAAATTGCTACTGGGTTTTGTTCTGCTGTATTTTCCTTACCAAAGCACTCTTGTCATAAATAAACCCAGAGTTTCTTGCACACTCACATGAGTCTCCATGCGGAGTTTCCATTTCAGGCAGGGCAGCTGTTTCAATTTATGCAGCTATAACCGAGATTTTAATATTTGCCCATTTGCCTGGCCACAAAGAGCTCCCAGTTCAGATTGAACTGGCAAATCTCAAGTGCCTAAGGGGGGGGGACGACGACGACCCCTTTGGGGGTCAAACGACCCTTTCACAGAGGTCGCCTAAGACCATCGGAAAACACATATTTTTGATGGTCTTAGGAACCGAGACACCAATTTTATGGTTGGGGGTCCCCACAACATGAGGAACTGTA